GTGAGGAAGAGGAAGACGACGAATGCGAGCCCAAAGCTTTGCCGAGTTTTGCCGAAGCGCACGCTGCATTGGCGAAAGTGAAGTTGTTCTTTTATGCGCTTAATATTAGTGAACGTGACGAAGAAAACATTTTGAACGTGGAAAGTGCTCTGTTTGGTCTAAAACGTAAAGTTTCGACAAACCAGTTGTCCATTAAAGACTTTTTTGGTAAAAAGAAGTAACTTTGAAAGAGAAACATTGTTTTTTTTTAAATTTTTAATGCTTTCCCGCATCTATCGTTTTCCCGCATTCATCGTTTTTATTTCCCACCCCCGCCGAAAACGATGCATCGAGGTTTCACTGTATTTCAACTGCTTTGTTGTGTCTGCTTGTACCATGTGTGCAATAATTTTTCTTTGCATTATATTATGTATCTATCGTATCCTAATGATGTCTTCAAATTAAAGTGTTAAACCCAGACTTGCTATTCACACTGAAGGCCATAGAAAGTTATACCATTTTAGCATCAAGAGAGTTAAAGTATAAATTTACAACTGGGGGGCGGGGGGAAGCTGCAGCAGCAGGAAAACCAGAGCAACTATATACAAACATAAGAAAAGAAGCCGACATGGCAATCATCAGTCACCTGATAAAATATGTAAGTCAAGTTCTAATCCCATTTTCCTGAAAATTCTTGGTGCACTAAATATACAGAATTTCATTAACATCAAACAAGGTTCAGGTCATGATAGACATGACAGCAGCATTTTTATCTCTTGTGTACTGGCAACATTATTAGATTCAAGACAAAATCTAATTTGCATGCACTTAACTGTACCAGATTTTATCGAACCCTATTAGTCTCAGCCAAGATATATCACTTGGACAGAAAAATGAGCATACCAGAGAAAATAAATTATGCAATTTTTGCACACATGCCTAAAATAATAAGTCAAAATTCACAGTGTTATAAAATAAAAATAAAGAAATATGTTGACAAGCATCAATGCTCTCCCCTTTGAACGAATTCTCACTCTTCCTTTTCTTGGCATACACTTTTAAATATAATTTATTTCAGCGCTTCTTACATTCAGATGGGAAGGAGAAAAAACAATGTAGAATCACTACTATGGCATAGAAGTATTCATCACATTATAAAATAATTTAATTCCAGTCACAAGTGTTTGCCTTTTCACTTTGTTTAGATACTTGTAATCGAGGATGACGGTGAGCACATTAAATAAGCATTTATGGACAACCAATAAAGGAAGGTCTTCCAGTTTTGACAGAGGGTTAAACACTTCTAACTGTAAAATATCAACAAGTTACAAAATATTACACAAGATCTTGGACTTGGCAGACTTTGGTAGCATGTTAATGAAACTTCAGATTCAATAAAATATGGGGAATTTGACTAGGTGAATGACTATTAGCCATTACAAAATGATGATGCTGTTTTAAACGCCATTCATGTGGACTAAATTCCACTCATTCTACATCTGTCTGCTTGATAAACCTCTGCAAATATCCACTGTAGTTTTTACAGCTGTGTCTTACATAGCAGTTACGTTGTTAGTTCTCCACTTGTCCTACCACCAGCATTAAGTTTGGCTTTCGCTAATTACTTTTTCACTCAGACAAATGCATATTAGGAATAGGCTCTGTACATTAGGCCTGGCTATATATGAAAACATCTTGCTGCCCCAAGCACAAATCATAAATACACAACTAGGTAATGATGTCTGACTACCGACGACGAGACACCGTTGAATGCTGGGAGTAGAGAACCCTGAAGCCAATCCAGATTAGCAGTGACACTAGTCCAGTGCAGCAGAGTCCTGCGATCGCTCTCAGCTTCCAGTGTGCTCTGTAGCTGCGGAGAATAGATAATATCCGCAGAACCTAGTAACCACGCAAATAATACATCAGGACATGTGAAACAAGTTGACAAACAGATTACAGAAAATGAAAGAAGTACATTTGTTTGGAAATTAATGGAGGAGAACCTGACCACAAGGACCATGCCATAAAAGTATGCAAAACAGCAAAGAGGTAAAACCCTATACATCAATCTTGGTATTATGGTGCATTCATTATTGAGAACAAAGTATCTCTGAAATAAAACTTGCAGGTAATTATGTATATCCACTTCTTCACATAAGATTAAACCTCTGGTTGATGATGTTACAGACATGTTTTCAAACATGGTTATGTAATGGCCACACGCTAAAACTGTAGTATGTAATGTATCTGGACAGCCAACAATATCCTGCTATGCACTGGAACACTGTTGCCATAATAACAATAAGATAAGCTATAGATGCAGAAAAGTGTTGTATTTCAAACTCCAGCTGCTGTAACCCTGGAAAAAATCCCCTAGTAACAACTAGGTCGGTGGACCTAAAAGCTTTTTCAGATGTGATGGAAATATTCCACTGGAACATAAAACTCCAGTGTTCCAGCCAATAACCAATCACTTCACTAACTAAACCAAGCTTCCCAATTTATTCTCCTCTTCTAATATTGTTAAGGTGATTAGATGAGCAAGACGTGGCTTGCATGACTGAATATAACTTAGAATGTCTAACACAGACAAACATAAATAAGCCATTAAGATTCAAACCATACTGAACTGGCTCAGAATAGGGTTCAATGGCAGACATGTGTGAATAAACTGAAGAACCTGAGTTCTATTAACTAACTAGTTGGCTCAGGGAACTGGAAAGGTCATCACCGATTTAACCAAAGGCCAGCAAAATCATTAACTGCAAGGACTTTCTCAAAATGACACACATTTAGGACACTTTCCATTTTAACATTCTTTTACAAGAATGGTTTTGGAACAAAAACTGGGATGATGGAAAACAAGCAAAGTATCTGTCAGTTTAATAACATCATCATTAAAAAACTTTAGACTTAACAGGAATATTCTTACTAGATGAATAACTACCAATGAAAGATGTATGAGTTTCTAAAAGTGTTGAGAACATCTTACTCAAAGGCATACTGCAAATTATTAGTGTATGCAATGACACAGAATGTACACATGTACCTGTTCACGTGTGTCCTGTGTTGTACCGGAGTTCTCTACAACGAAGTGTGCTTGCTCACATTTACGCTCCAGAGACATCTGGGCACTAATGCGTTTCTTGGCTTTGGCTTCTGTCATAAAATTCCTTTCAATAAGTCGCTGAAGTTGAAGGTCTTCCTCACTGCAAGCATCATGTCCCATTATAACACCAACAAATTACAGGAGTAATTAAAATATAAATCAGGAATTTTATCAGTCTCTATCTACTGAAGCAACTTTATTTCAATTGAACTTTTCTGGAATCAACAGGGGGTCTGAATTCCCCAAACTCTACAATTTAATATACAGTGAAATTACCAAAAATATTACATCAAAAACTCACCATGTCACAACTATTATTTTATACAGATAATCTACCATGCTTCCTGATTCAAACAGGAGTGGCAAGTCCATCACAATGAACTGATGACCTGAAACATTGCAAACCAACACAAAGTATTAAGTGCTAAGTGCACACAAATGCCAGTCTACTTTTTGTTGCCTTAAATCAGGCCATGACTGCACCTTTTCAATTATTCTTTTGTTCACAAACATACTCATTCTGTAGTCTGGTTGAAGTTTATTGACATTTCAAAGGTTCTTACTGCCGTCCATCATCAAGGCTAACCAAACTACAAGGCACATCAATCCTGAAGACAACCACCTTCACACTCGCTGCTGTGAAAACCTCAAATGTCATTCTCATTCTTTGTTCATCCTTCAAAGTGTGAGACAAACTATTGTCAGTGCGTAATGCTAGGTATGAGTCATAACGTTGCCTTGTAAAAATACCTGTGATCTCTACCTCTGATGCATTAATTAAAATTAAAGCATCATAATGACCCTCATGTAATGTGCCACTGAAAAAGTGACAAAGAATGTTCTAGTAAAATGCCAGATATTCAAACAGAAGAGAAAGATTTCTATTTATTTATTTATTCCTAGTTTACTTCATGACTGTCAGTAGCTGAGAACATTTTGCAGCAAATGACTGGATGATAGTCTGCTTCTGGGACAAGATTTAAACTAAGGATCTCCCAAATAGAAAAGAGTGCTTGCTAAGCACTCAGCCATAATGTCAAGAGATGAGTTTCTAAAGAAAATATTTTCTGAACTTCTTGACACCACTAAAAACAAAAGTATCAATTTTAACATAGGTTATGATAATAAAACAACTGAAGAAGTAACAGGAACTAAATTCCTTCATTTACACATTGCTAATAACTTGAACTGGATAAAGGGCACTGAATATATTATCCCCAAACTAAGTCACACTGTTGAAAGTAAATATTTTAAAATTAGTTTACTTTGCTTATTTCCATTCCATCATATCCTATGGAATTATCTTACAAGGAAATTTAACACACAGCAAAAGAGCATTAAGTAGTTTTCATTGTTACAACTCATATCATAAAGTGAACAAATGCTACTGCACATCATTTATCTATACAAACATAATTCAAACATAGCTAAAATTCCAGTAGCCTTTGAAATACTGTGTGTTCATTCATTAAGATGTTCAGGGATATAACATGCTTTCAACGTTTTAAAAATATTAACATCTGTGAACTCCACTTATGATTTTGTTCAGTGAACACATCCTTTCATTATTTTAACATATGCAACTTTATTTTTATGTAACACATCAAGGTGTTTTCATCACAATCTGTGCCTTGAAACAAAATAACCACACAAGCACAAAGACAATCACTGAAACCAAAGTCTAATATTACCACTTTGCTTCTATAATTAGTTTTATACATATATAGGTTTCAAAGATGAGATAATGTTCCCCTTCTCATGCAACTCTACATCATGTAACAAACAGAGAAGACAAACATGTTCACTTGCCTTGAAAGAAGCATCTAACAGCTGCCCAAAACATTTCACTGTAGATTTCAGGATGTGTAATTTCATTCAGCTTCTTTCTCTTCTCCACACTGTCAAAAATGATTTCACCAAGAACTTCACGATTAAGTTGCCCATCTTTATGAAACACAGCGTCACCAAACTCCTTCTTTATCAGATGCCATGCCTTTCTACCAGGCTCAACAACTAAAAAATTTCACACATATACTGGTATTCGAATTTGATGATGAAAGTGCAGATTATGGTATAGGTCCCCTACAAGCCAAGCCAAACTAAGCTCTACTAACAAAATCTAACATAACATGATCTAACAAAACCTAACCTACAAAAAGCAAAGTATGGTAAGAAATCTGGGACTGTAACATGATGGTGTGCTTATACACTAATTTTAACTTCTTCTTGTAGTTGATATAAGTAAATAATTCTGTAGTCAAATTCTGACATTAATGTACATCATTTTGGCATTGTCCAAATATCTGGCAAATAAACACAAGGCATGCAGTACCAAATAAACTGACAAAATGGTGCATCGACATAGAAGACAATCATCTTCAACTTGATGACATTACTTAATTTGCAATATAAGTCATTAGTTTAAGTTAACTGCCTTCTAGGATGATGTATTATACAGTCTGGTAAATGGTTTACAAAAGTTTCAGAGGTGCTTAGCTGCTTTCATCGTCTGGGCAATGTTGATTCCAACAAAAAATTACATAAATTACTATCACTGTCTAAATTGAAGTCTGAAGGTGTCTGAATATGGTGCGTAAAATATGTAAAACTGGTATCTTGGACTTTGTCCATCGTCTAAATTATGAACAAAAACATAACTCCTTGGCATAACGTACCGTGTTAAGTGACAATATGGTGAGCTATCATGCACCATGCACCCTAAACCATACTATGCTCTACGCCTTGATGTGGAAGACCTATTAATCCAACATACAAACCTTTCCTTGCGGCAACATCAGCATCAATTACAGGAATACCATATTCCTTGAATATTTATCCTATGGAATTATCTTACAAGGAAATTTAACACACAGCAAAAGAGCATTAAGTAGTTTTCATTGTTACAACTCATATCATAAAGTGAACAAATGCTACTGCACATCATTTATCTATACAAACATAATTCAAACATAGCTAAAATTCCAGTAGCCTTTGAAATACTGTGTGTTCATTCATTAAGATGTTCAGGGATATAACATGCTTTCAACGTTTTAAAAATATTAACATCTGTGAACTCCACTTATGATTTTGTTCAGTGAACACATCCTTTCATTATTTTAACATATGCAACTTTATTTTTATGTAACACATCAAGGTGTTTTCATCACAATCTGTGCCTTGAAACAAAATAACCACACAAGCACAAAGACAATCACTGAAACCAAAGTCTAATATTACCACTTTGCTTCTATAATTAGTTTTATACATATATAGGTTTCAAAGATGAGATAATGTTCCCCTTCTCATGCAACTCTACATCATGTAACAAACAGAGAAGACAAACATGTTCACTTGCCTTGAAAGAAGCATCTAACAGCTGCCCAAAACATTTCACTGTAGATTTCAGGATGTGTAATTTCATTCAGCTTCTTTCTCTTCTCCACACTGTCAAAAATGATTTCACCAAGAACTTCACGATTAAGTTGCCCATCTTTATGAAACACAGCGTCACCAAACTCCTTCTTTATCAGATGCCATGCCTTTCTACCAGGCTCAACAACTAAAAAATTTCACACATATACTGGTATTCGAATTTGATGATGAAAGTGCAGATTATGGTATAGGTCCCCTACAAGCCAAGCCAAACTAAGCTCTACTAACAAAATCTAACATAACATGATCTAACAAAACCTAACCTACAAAAAGCAAAGTATGGTAAGAAATCTGGGACTGTAACATGATGGTGTGCTTATACACTAATTTTAACTTCTTCTTGTAGTTGATATAAGTAAATAATTCTGTAGTCAAATTCTGACATTAATGTACATCATTTTGGCATTGTCCAAATATCTGGCAAATAAACACAAGGCATGCAGTACCAAATAAACTGACAAAATGGTGCATCGACATAGAAGACAATCATCTTCAACTTGATGACATTACTTAATTTGCAATATAAGTCATTAGTTTAAGTTAACTGCCTTCTAGGATGATGTATTATACAGTCTGGTAAATGGTTTACAAAAGTTTCAGAGGTGCTTAGCTGCTTTCATCGTCTGGGCAATGTTGATTCCAACAAAAAATTACATAAATTACTATCACTGTCTAAATTGAAGTCTGAAGGTGTCTGAATATGGTGCGTAAAATATGTAAAACTGGTATCTTGGACTTTGTCCATCGTCTAAATTATGAACAAAAACATAACTCCTTGGCATAACGTACCGTGTTAAGTGACAATATGGTGAGCTATCATGCACCATGCACCCTAAACCATACTATGCTCTACGCCTTGATGTGGAAGACCTATTAATCCAACATACAAACCTTTCCTTGCGGCAACATCAGCATCAATTACAGGAATACCATATTCCTTGAATATTTCACAGACGGCGCTCTTTCCCGTCGCTATGCCACCTGTTACTCCAACTATAAACATTTTAATAGTAGTAAGCTTGCGTAAATTTCTGTGAACAATGCTGATCCCTTGTACTGAATTTGCCAACTCAAGGCCATCAAGCTTTTGCACTAAAAGATCTAATTACACCATACTACAACCTCATAACCCACAATCCTGAAACCTTCCACGATCAGCTGTTGACCATACAGTATACCAACATTGGTATACAATACTGACATTTAGACGGACTGCCAACATCAAGGCACGTCTTTCCATGGTTATATGAAGGCTTCCTCCATATTGTGGACAGTGGGATTTATTTGAAATTGTTGTATCTGATTACAACACGAAATTCGTATAAAATTTGTCTTTTTTCTTCTGTCACAAACCTGATTACGTTTCACGGCTACATTTACTTTACTATAACTCAATTAATTTTAATTTTTAATTATTAATTACTAATTTAGACATACTTTTAATGTGTTAATCATAGTCTAGCGATACATAAAATACATATGAGCGCAGGATCCATGACGTAGGTTAGCAGTGGGTTCGAGCACAGGTTAACCTAATATAGAGGATCGCGTCGTGTGATGGCAACGAATAAGAGAGATATAATGAGGTTGCCTCATCATTCTGCTATGGAATTGTGTATGACAAGAGCGAAGTATAGACAAGGCAAGAAACTGACATCAGTTAAGGTAGAAGACAACTGTATCCTGCAACAACATTGATATTTATTGAAGTTTTTGTTAATATTTTAGCGTTTATTGAAGTTTTTTGATCATGTTTTTAGCATATCCTATTTACAAATCTTCGAAGTTTAATGAGCAGGTCACACAGAGAACTGCTATGAGTTTGTTTAGTTCTTAGTCACTCAGTCACTTGACTTTCAGACATGTGTTTATTGGACACTGCCTACAAAATTTTATCTAACATTTTTCTGGTTAGGCTGACTCCATATGCCTATGAAATTATTAGGGATCACCAGTGTGGTTTCCATCATAATAGAGCTACAACTGATCACATTTTCTACTTTCGCCAGATACTAGAGAAAAAATGGAAGTACACTGTATTGGTACAACTATTTATAGACTTAGAGAAAGCGTATGACTTGCTTAAACGAGAAGCTCTTTACAACATTTTGTTTGAATTTGGTATACCTAAGAAGCTAGTCAGCCTGATTAAAATGTTTTTTGTGAAATCTCTTGCAAAATTCATGCAGTTAAACATTTGTCCAACACATTTCTTATTCAGAATGGCCTGAAACAGGGAGATGCTCTATTGCCACCGCTTTTAAATTTTGTTGTAGAATATGCCACCAGGAAAGTCCAAGAAAATCAGGACAGTTTGGAATTGAGTGGGACACATCAGCTGTTCGTCTGTGCTGATGATATTAATCTGTTGGGCAATGATATAAATACTAATAGCGAACACAGATATACTTCTTGCAAATGTAATAGAAGTCTATATATGTGCAGGAGGAACAGTAATGATGCAAACACAAGAACATTTTGCATTAAGTATTCTAAAATCCTAAATAATGTTATAAAAGAGGCCAAAAAGCAGCATTACTCTAGACTTATAGCAATATCGGTAATAAACTAAAAATAACATGGATCTTTCTATACACAGCATTAAAACAAAGAATATGCATCAGCTTCATAGACCACTTGCCAATATCTCGTGCTTTCAGAAAAGTGCATTTTATGTTCACATCAAAATTTTCTAGTCTACCATCTAAAGATGGCTGTCTTCAGGGTTGTTGTGTAGTCTGGTAGAAGTTTACCGACGTTTCAGAGGCCCTTGCCACCTCCATCATCGCCCTGCTGATGGAGGCAGCAAGGACCTCTGAAACATCGGTAAACTTCTACCAGACTACATGACGCAACCCAGAAGATAGCCATCTTTAGACTCACTGCCGTGAAAACCTCAAATCCAACACAGTCTACTATCTAGTCTCACAAGTCTTGTGAATAAAATGTCACAATTTAAAGTAGCATTAAGAATGTTGTTAAATACAATCGTGTTACTTTGTTGATGATTTTCTAGTGTTTTAAAATGACTTACAATGGTTTTAAAGGTTTTCTTGCCTTTTTATAGTATAAATGGGTAGTGTAATTTATTTGCTGTATATGTGTGGATTTATTTGAAACAGTTCATGTGAAATCTGACTATCTTACTGATTAAATGAATGTAATTACATACATGTATGAAAAAGATTACCCTCTGAGCTATTTAATTCCTATATTTGTCAATAAGTTCAGATTTTGTGCATGTCTTTTAGCACACTGGTGCTTCTTTAAGCGGCAGGATGTTCAAGTAACAGTGGGAATCACCTTATATTGTGATTCATGCCCATGTCTTTCTGTTTGGACATGTACTTACCAGACTGCTGCCATCATTTTATTTAGGACTACACCCCTGCTGTTGGTCCTAATTCAAATAATTCTAAACTCTAATCTTCTTCACCCCTCAGATCTGGGTTTTGTGTCCAATACAAACCATTCTAATGTACCTAACTGAAATGGGCTGTGTTGTAAAGATATTCTTTAATCTGATTAATGTCTTCAACTTTAAAGAGAACCATTTTTATTTATTTCAAAGTTCAGTTTCTTGTTCCAAATAAATAGGTATTCTGTTTGGTCACCATACCAAAGTTACTGTATTAAAAGTATCTTTCAAAATCTATAATACCAGATTTGATCACATTCTGAGGAGGTAGAAGACATAAAACAAAGAACTATTTGTTACTATTAAGAATCCACATAAAAAATGCCAAATGACATTGCTTTCTGCCGAGTATGTTCCTTGACATGCCAGCTATATAGAGTGACCCCTGCAGGTGTATACTGTAAACAGCGAGTCCCAGCATCTTTTGGTGTGTGGTGTCCCTTCATTAGGGCTTCAAGATGAACTTCGGCGATTGTGTACCAGGTTTGGTGATGTCAAGTCATTGGTGTTTGTCCCCAAATATGCAGAAGAAGAATTCACAGATGTTTATCATGTTCAGTATTCAAGGATCCAGTCAGCCAGGTAACAGTGCTTATTGTGTATTTTTCTACAGCATTTTTTTTAGAATGAAAGTAAATCAAGTCAGGTTTTGAGGAACTGGTAAATTCCTCTGTATTTTTCAAAGTTGCGGAAAGGAACTGTGGTGTTTGTGGGGTAAACTCTGGGTTGAGTCATGTTTCTTTTTTATTTTATGCATTCACTGTGTTGTACTAGATTATATAAGGAATTTTTTACCAAAGTTATGTATTTTTCAAAGATACGTCATTGTATGACCCTACATTAACACTTTGAAGCTGAAGTCCATTTAAATAATATTTAAAAAACCTATTTTATACTGCAAAGAAAACACTACACTTCTCCAATACAAAGGTAAGATCTTTAATGTTATTCAGGGAAGTTATTGTGTTTGTTCTTAGAATTTTACAGAACCCATAAATACATTCTGTTGGCAAAAGCCAGAATTATTTATTATTAAAGCAAGTATTACCACTGGGACTTAAAGATGTAATGTTGCTCCCACTTTACAAGTTTGTGTCTGACAAGTTGGTATTCGTAATTTTAGGAAATTTGAAAGTGTAATTTATGTTAACTTTCAGTGGCATAATGCCCATACCAAACTTCAGTAAATGTTCTCAGCAGTTTGAGTTGAATTATTCAGACAGACAGACGGTCGGATTTAAAGAACTCATGGTCAACCTTATGTGTGTTCATTTTGTGTACATAGTGCAAAAAATACATATCAAGGAAAAGGAAAAATCTGCATAAAATGGAATTTAATTTCTTTTACGTTGTACATAACTTATTAGTCATGAATGATGGAGTGTTTATTAACTTAAAGTCACTGTAATTGACCAGTATGATTATTTTTTTGATTTTTCTCAGTACAGTCTTGGAATTTTACTTGAAAATCAGACATCTTTATAACCTTATCCTGCAGTGCTGCATAAGCTCTGAAATTGGCAGTAGTTAAACAAGGAGCAGGCATTATTAGTACAAAAGAGAATGAGATCTGAGGTGAGCTGGGCATGCAACATAATAATGGAAATATACAGAATTTTTGTGTGGGCTTATGACAAGAGGGTACTGTTGAGAGCTAGATGCTCATCAAACAAATTTAAACTCTTTCCTTGACATAGTGTTGTTAACTAAACTGAGACATTAAAGAAGTGTGTAGTCAGAAATAAATAATGATTTTTCTTCACTACATTTATGTCATCTGATGCAGGTATGCAAAACATCATTTGGATGGCAGAGCCTTTTATGGTGGAATTTTGCATGTCTGTTATGCTCCCGAGATGGAATCTGTGGCAGAAACCCGAGCCAAGTTGATACAGAGGAGGAAGGACATAGCTAAAAGGACTCGAGGAGACATCCCTTGTACAGGGCTGAGTAAGCTTACATCTCAGAGTGACACTACTTCAGCTGTTCTACTGATTTATACAGTTGCAGTTACTTTAAGTTTGTTGTGAAGGAGACCTCTGATCGTGACCTTACTATTTTCTTTAATTCAACTTTGATAGGCTAGAAGAAAGAAAATAAAATATCTGTTTGATAACCAAATATTTGCTTCTGTTGCAAGAAGTTCATAGAACTTTTTGATGTCTTTGGTTGTATTTGGCTTGGAAAGATTAATTTATTGATTTCTGCCGTTTTACATAATTAAGTAGATGATATTGAATATCAACTTATTTTTATGTAATTGTTGGTTTTATGGATAATAATGCCCTGAAGATGGAGACATGTTTTTCTGAAACATTTTTATCTATCGACAAATCCACATAGAGTTAATGCATAGAGGACCAACAATTATATTTTCACTGAGATGATACCTGAAATCTCATACTGATTTACAGCTTTGTTATTATGTGCTTCAGCTTTTGCCTTTCTCAAGCATAATATTCACATTTATTCAAGTACTTTAAAAAACTCTTTATTTCTGGCAATTGTTATTTAATTCATTTTGAATTGCTGTGTGGAACAAAATTTTTTAATTCTTGTTTTTTGTAAGGTGTTTGTTTCCATTTTATGTTGGCTGTTTAACAATGAAGCCTCTCCATCTGTCATCTCTTCTAAAAATTCCTTTTTCAGTTGCTTCCCATGTTCTTCCTTCCTTGTGTGCGACATCTTTTGCAAACCAACCATTTGTTATCATCTTGGTCTCAGGCATTTTACTTTCATGTTCAAAACCTGCTTCAAGATTCTTTCTTCATTCATTCTTAAAATATTTCCATACCATCTTAATTCTGTTATTTATTAATTTACCTTTAACTTGTATCTGATTTTTAATTTTTTCTCTTTCTTGTGGTGTCTCTTTTTGTACTCTTTAAAAATCTTATTTGAGCTGCCATTAGTGCACTACCATCAGCCTTGGTCAAAAGTTTTCAAATTCGTAGATGTAAATACCTTACATTAAAAGCTAACAGGCTTGACATAAAGAAACCCACAATCCAAGGTGTTGTGATGTTTCGCAGGTCAGAATGAGGCTGTATTTCAACCACAGCAGTATCACCGACAGAAGAGACATCCTGCCTTGCCTTTAACTGAGGACAGGTTAGCTCAGGCTCAGGCTAGTGGTGTTGGTGAAGCAGGCTGCATATGGCAGGGAGTCCCCTGCAGTATAGATCCTCGGATAATTGCCCCAGCACCTGAGTTACTTGAGGTGAAGTTTCAGAATTGCTGCTGTTATACCAACTGATATACTTACAGATAGCATTAATGACTGACACACCTTCGTATCATCTGACTTGACCCGTAATACACAAACATTTATATTTTAATCAACAAATGTTTGTCCTTTATGAGGGAATACTCCTTACTCTGTTAAGCTTGCAAAATTTGTAAATCTGTGTTCACTCCAATAATCAGGATGTCGACACACCTGCCTTAAGACATTAAAACAAGAAGTTTTTGGAAGTGACTCGTCTCCTGCTTTTCTGTAAATATTTGTATTTGTAAAGAACGGTAAGCAGAACTTGTAAATTAATTGTTGTACAAATAAGTTATTTCATTTATATGGAGAAAGTACAATTTTTATTGTGTTACTAGACATTTACAGCACTTAAATTTATCAAGCTTAACATCAAAGTTTTGTGTCGGTATATTCAGTTTTCTACAGCACTTTCTGACTAACTCTCTTTAGGCAGAGTATAACTTCTTCCTGTCAGGTTTGTTTATCAGTTGAGTAATTTCCTGTAAAAAGTGCTTCCTTATGAACAGATTTTTTCTAATGCCTCTGATCTTTTGATATTTCTGACTTTTCCATTCTGTATAAAATGCGATGATACTTTTTGGGACTAAGTAGGTAAAACACACAACCCCATTTTCTGGTCCATTTAAATAAACTTTGCTGCATATTAATGTGCATTATGATTTTAGCCCAAAAGAGTGTATGGTCCGCAAAAACCAGATGATGGTTGGGCACTAGCTGGTGTGAGAGAACAAAGAACAATAAAAAAATGTAGCAAAACAAAACCAATATCAACTGTGACAACGATACTCCCCTCTAGCTTGCTACCACCAAAGAAGACTGCCGCTTCAGTTATGAGGTAACATTGTCTGTCATTAGTATTCAGTATGTAATTTGTTCTTTTATGCAGTACTGAAATGATATTAATAAAATATTGATCTGGTTTACCAGTTTATGGGCAAAACAAGAGGAAATAATAGTTAGTAATGGGTCACAAGATGGAACAAATTTTCCATGTGAATAGGAAGAAAAAAGATCATAATTAAAAAGTTGTCAGTGGAACCAAGGTTCCGGAGAATTTGACGTAAATACATCTATACGGAAAGGAAGTTTATATATTGGCTTTATTCTAAATATTTCCTTTATACATGCTTTACAATTGAGATAAGTTTGATTAAGACATTGCTTATTTACTTTGAATTAGTTATGCTTAAGATGGGTCTGTGGTAGCTGAATGTAATGTAAGGTAAGGGTAATGTGATGTAATGTAAGGTAGGGTAATGTAATGAAATGTTTCCTAGGTAACAATAATGCCGAGTAAATAATTGACGTTTCCTAGGTAACAATAACAATTGAAGTTTCCTAGGTAACATAACAATGCAGTTACACTTTTTTGTTTCACTTTTTGCCGAATGACACTGACCCTAAAATATAGACGTATTTACGTCAAAAAATATAATAGAGACACTTCTTTAATAAAATTCAGGCTTTGCCAGAGTACTTTAAACAACATTTAAGTGTGTTTATTTTAGTCTTGTGGGTTGTGATGCCTTGTAATATACATGGCTACAGTTGTCATGTAGGTTACATGGCATCACAACCCAGAAGACCACAGTTGACACTTCGCCAACAAGAGGATGTTAAACTTAAAAGGTAAGTTTTTCCTGATACTTAATAAAGCACTGTGCTATAAAGACGGGAGTAGATGCATAGTTCCACACATTCTTAGTATGAGTGCTAGTTGGAGGTGTGTGGCTGTTCCAGAGTAACAGCCCCTGTTATCCATTGGGTAGCTGGCTGGTGGTGAAAAGAAAATTCCATGTGAATATCAGTGAAAATACAAGCATAAATTGCCCATTACAGAAATACGCTGACTGACGGTTCTCTTATCTTTCTTGTCTTAAGTTGGGTCACTTAGTAGAAGAAAATCTATTACTCTCTTAAATTATGGTTAGACTTATTGACCATGACATCTAAAACTTCCAGTTGTGAGGTCATACCTTCAGGGATGACTAAATCTGTATGTCCAATTTTCAGTTTTGTGTCTTCTAAATGCATCAAGTGTTACTACAAATAATAACATTTGCAAGTGTGTCAAAGAGCACATGTCTGATCTGGATGTAGTTGAAGATGACTCTTCTAGATTGTAGCACCGTGTAGTCTGGTAGACTATGGACCTTCGTGTCAAACACCATAGATGAAGATGTAGCCAGGAAAAAAAAAAGTGTACCAAATTTCAGTGACTCCTCTGAATATAATGCATTACATTGTTGGGCCCCTGTATCTGCTCCATGTTATATGTTGTGTATCGTTTCAGGTTCATCCCACGACAAGTGAGAACGAAGAGCCAGATAGTGTTTCACAAGGCAGGAGGTGGGGAACAAGGGAAAGATGACACTCAGTCTTTAAAGAGAATGTCCAAGCATATGGATTCTAGTGATGTTTCTCTGGATGCTAACATGGTGGAAGTTCGTGAGAAAATAAGAGCGGTAAATACTTTTGAGGGTTGACTGATACATTGCCATGCCATTTCCTTTCCACTGGCTATAAAGTCAGTTTCCTGAAGTATTAAGTTGTAAAAATATAAAACTTCTGTGTTTACAATAAAATCTACTTAAGTAATCACCGATAGTGTCTTAAGGTCAGGGTTTGTTACTTGGGATCAGTGGTGTGAATGGTGACATGTCAAATCCAGTTTTTGTAAATGAACCAGCTGATAGAAGGGTGTTGATTTGAAAATGAAACATAACAAGAATAAGCAGTGTGCAGTAACAGGTAAAATTCCCAGGAATTTCATGTGGAACTGTCCTTCAAAGTAAAAGGTTTCCTGCATGGATCATTTCTGCCAGAATTTGGCAATTGGTACGTTTACAACATTTCAACAGCAATGTCAACACCGAAAGAACTCCATTTATTATTTCCTTGTTGTAGGTGAGTGTGCCAAATGTGCAAGTAATTTTCAATGGAGAAGATCCTCTGGGAGCAAAATGATTACCAATCTGAGGTCACCAGAAACAAGTTGGCTGTTTATGCTTGTAATCTGTGCAAAATAATAATGCACATTATTTATAGCATAAGGTGGTTTATCTGCCTACAGGATTTGTCCCTCCAGGCTACAGTTTTTCTTGGTATTATACCTTTATTAAAGCACAGGTATTTACTCAGATGTGTATATTTTTTATTTATATTTAAACCATTTTCAAATGTTTTTACTTGTTTATGAAAGTCATAGAATGTGGTGAGTGCTTGAAAAATTGTGGATCACATTTGAGAGAGTATCCAGAGATTGTGGAATTAGCAGTTATATTGTGACATTCAATATACATAACTTTTCAAGAAGTGTTCATAGCACTTGCTAACATCAACAACAGAAACCATGAACATCTGCAAGATAGTAAATGTGTTCGTTCGTCCTTAACTGGAGCTTAAAACTAAAGTTGGCAAACAAGATTGTGAGTAGCTCTGTATTCCTGTAGGAAAAGAAAGATGCTATGCTTTTAATTAATGATTCATTTAATATGAAAAACAATTTTAGTGTCATATTAATCCAAATTTTTAAGACTTCATACAACATATCACCAAACTCATAACACATCTTTTTGAGAACCAATGTTTATGTCAAAAAAGTTCAGAGCTGGTATTTAAGGAGAAATTATGAAATGTTATTAGTACAGCTGCATGGAAAGCTGGAAGGAGTTATAAGGAATGTGCTTAAGTCTGTATAAATGTATTTTGTCTTGTGAACATTCTGTATTCTTTGTATACAGAAAATACAGACATGACTACTGACCTAGTAAACTGTATACTTTTCACATAATCCATTTTTAAGTTTTTTCCCCCTGCAGTGTATAACCTTTGCATGTAAAAGCACCTTCCAGTGCTCTATTCCACACATCGAGGGATGACAATGAAACATTAACTACTCATTTATTCACATGTTGTATAAAACTGCTCAGAATTTAATAAAATTACTAACTACCACACAATTATATATATGTTATACAAATCAGCACATACAAGGCATATTCATAAAATTTCATGACAGCAGAATTCATAATCTTCTCAAAGTATAATAGTGTTCTCTGGTTCCCAGCTTGAAGACATGTTGTATTTTTGTGGCTGCTTGTTTTTTGTGAGTGTGCCACGTATGTTGAGAGTGTCTGGTGGAGTGTTCTCGATCCCAGACAGGCGTCCTATCTCCTGGTTTATTCCACGAGATTGTTTGACTCGCAGGATCTGCTGTGGCGTGATTCCGTTGGCAGACACAGTCTGCAATGGAGTACGTGCCTGCACACATTGAAACAATGATAAACATTTGACATCTCATGTAATTATATTTAGTTTAAAGGAAAATGCTCCTCAAACAAATGACCATTAGTCCATTAGAACCACTCACATAAAATCAGCAACTCTAAAAATGCATTCAACTAAGTATCAGTCACTGAGATTATTTCCTGTACAATTTTACATTACAGATAAATAAAACAAAAGGTTCTTAAATTATGTTTTCAATAAATCAGTTTAGTCTAAGACGGCTCATAAAGTCTTGGGCACCACATCATCATGGCACCTCCAACTTTCACTGTAGTGCTTAGTGTTACCTGGACAGTGTTTAGAAGGTTTTGTGTATTCACATATAAATTTTTAAAAATTTTGGCTTGTAATTCCAGTTCTATACTGGCAGGATTTCTTTTTAAACTGTCATCAATCAGCTAAAAGTAAGGAACAGTGTATGATGTTGGCTGTCTTCTGGGTTGTGGCGCTGAAGTCTGGTAGATGCTTACCATCTTTTCAGAGGTGCTTGCTCCCTCCATCATGGAGTTTTACAACAACAACAACCTATTTTAGTTAAAGTCCAACAAAGGGCATCAACATTCACCTTGGGAGAAGCCTGCATCAGATGTTCTTTGGAATCAGGGTCATTAAACAACTTTCTGATAAGACAGTCTTCATTTGTTTTGTTTGACTTCATGGGTGTCATTGTTCCAACAACAGGCTTCCTGCAATTTAACTGGGTCTCTCTTACATCTCCTGGATCTTCAGCGTTACAATTAGATTCCAAGTCTCCTGATTGTGATGTTACACATGCATCAGCTGTCTGATGATTCAGTGAGTGTGATGGGTCATCCAGCTGAAAGAAAACTTTATCAGCTGCTGCTCAACAATGAGTATTTTGATGAAACTGCCAGCAGAATAAACTAAGATAAATTACTTCTAAAAAAACAAATCCACTCCTACTTATACAGAATGTGAATTTATGATGACATTTGGTCTTTCAAGTATTAAAGCATGAGGAAAAAACTCTTTATGTTTGGTTAGATATTGTAGTTTCATGAAAATAACAGTAATCTTTCAAATGTTTATATTTCCTTTCGTAGATTACAGCAGTTTCCAACAAAACTCCATACTATAAACTCAGACTGATTAATACCCTGTTTTAACATATTCAGTTGCAAAATTAGGATTTTCCTTTCAAGGGGTAGTGATGAAAAACCTGAACTTGGCACATAACTACTTATAACTTACAATACATGAATGAATATGGAGCAGCAGTTGAATGATACTGACAGGTGAAAAATCTGTTCCAGTGCCACTTTATTCATCACAAATCTAGGCTTCCACAGTGAGTACTGAGTTCACAGCTGATCTCTTGGCCTTGGGCATCTGTTCTTATGGATTATATGAAAAGTAGTCATAGAAACAAGATACATGGAGCAATAGCTTAACATACAGCAGATAATTCGGATGGCACGACTAAAATGACAGCTATATCAAAGTTGAAGCCAGTGTATCTTTGATTTTATAAAACCTCTACTCACACTTTGCACAAGTGCCAGCACTTCTCGCGTGACCTATACATACTTGATTTTGGGTATGAGCAGATTCTTCACTTGGCAATCCTGGATCAAGCAAGCTAAACCTGGGTTTGTTGCCCGAGTTGATAGATGGATGTAAAACTAGATCCTCCAGTGATGTATCAGTAAACAGGCAATCAGCTGGACTAGATTCTTCTTCATCACTCTTGTAATAAACATCTTCAGGGGTGGATTCCACCTATTGGAATAATTCCACATGTACTGAATTACAGTGGAGTATAAAACTTCTAATAATTCAAGAATATTAATCCTTTTTATGCATTCCTGTAGGGAATTATTTAAGTTTAATATTCTTCCACTACCCAGTGAATTCTTGCTCTCACTATTATTATTATTTGTAGTGGATAACATGGAAAAATTTCAAACAAGTTCAGATATCCACAATATGAGAAGATAAAGATACAACCTTCATGTGCCGAATTCTAACCTCACTAAATATCGAAAAGGGGTTTACTACACTGAAATTAAGTTATTCAATAATCTTCCACCTACTATCAAAATTTTAAATCATAGTATGAAAATGTTTAAGCCAGCGTTAAAAGAGTATCTCCTATCTCACTCCTTCTACACAATAGAAGAATTTACATCACCCAAAGAGTTTTAACTATTATAAATACATGTAACAATGGTGATGGCTTCTCATCATAATTATTTTGCTGTAATAACTATGTATTTATATTTGTACTAGAAACACGTGTTGTATTTGTGCTATGACCTGTTCTACATCCTTGGCTTAGACCTATGAAGGATCTATGGAATGTACATAAATTCTATTCTATTCACAGTGTGCAGCAAATGATTGAATATAAGCATGATCATGTCTGTCTGTCCATCTGAAAAATACAATTTGACAACTGCTCGACAGATTTTGATTAAATTTAGTATGAATGTTATACCCTTTCCTCATACTGTCAATTTCCTACAATTGACAATACCAACATGGCAGAAGAACAAACTTGTGAGGTGCAAGCTACATGTGCCACATAATATCAGGTCATACAATGATGTATAATAGCAGACCTTCAAAAATGTGCAACTCTGGTATAGTAATTATTTGTTCAGCGGAAGCTGAATGAACAAGAAAAGAAAATTCAATACAGAATCAAGTCCATTACCACCTCAGCACAAGTCCAGTATGCCGCTCAGATCTAACCTGAGTTGTGTTACACTATTAAGATTTTAATTATTTAAAACAGATATTAAAAATGTGTGATATGCAAGTATGAAATTTAAGTTGTTCAAGGTAAAAGGAATCTTATTTTATGAATACTTTTTTAAGTGAATAGGCTAAGAAATATTTTAAACTAATTTGAGCTTATTCATTATTAGGTATTCTTCACACTATACCATGAGTGAAGAACAGCTTATGGACTCTTCCATGACTGTCACATCTTTCAGCAACAATAGGCCCAGAGGATATTGTTCTTATTGTTACTGTTCTTCATTTCCATTGCAATTGTTATTGGCCTGTTGGCTTGTCTTGCTTTGGTGCTTTGCCACCAAAGCTTGCTTCATGGCCATGGGGCTAAGCCATTTTGGAGGACTACTACCTCTGGAAGATAATGACCCCTACATCTAGTCCAAACAGGGCTTTTAACTCCTTGGGCATTAACAACCAAGCATGTCCCAAACATGTTTGCTCAATTTAGTTTGGCCCTAAGTACATACTACTCTAGGGGCCTTGTCATCCACGCTTCCTCTCCTGTGCCTAGCCCTCTAGGGCTTTTGCATTTAATTACTTTATTCTCAAAGGACATTACTTTATAAGGAACTAGGCCACCTCTATGGTGGGTTGAACAACTGTCCCCCCTTCAACTTACTTCACATTGGTGTTCTACCCTCAGGGTTTGTGCTCCCTGCAGCACCCCCCCTCCCAAACGCCCTCATGGGGTCGAGGACCCTTGAAACTGCTGTCTCCGGCTGGATCATTCAGGCCTGAAAAGGATTTGGACTGACCTTAAGGGGCTTGGCCAATTTCAATGATTGCAACTGTACATAGGTAGTCTTTCATTGGCATTTGTGTTGTAACGGTGGTGCCCCTGTGTTTGTCAGTCTCAGGGCTCTGCCTCTTGCAGTTCCCCCTTAAGCAGGGACTAAAATTTCTAGGATCCTATAACCTCAGGTTAGGTTATACAGAGATCAGGTAAGGTGGGATTTGGTGGTGGGTGGCTTGATACTTTTTAGGTTAAGAACACTTCAGGGTGCAACACCCCCTGGGACACCTCCAGGTAATTCCCTCCTGGGTTGATCACAATTCAACATGGAACAACTGGGGCCTTGGTTTATCCCTATCATGCTTCCTGGGGCCTAGCCCCATGTGAATTCTAACACAACCAATGGTGTGGTGTGAGGAACACCTTTGGAAGATAAATTTTCACCTGTATTGGTGTTCGAAGAATCCCAGAAGAAGGTGATCTTGGGTCATCTGACAAAAGACGCAGCCTATGCAGCTTCTTCATAGGTTCTTCCACTTTAGGTGACTCAGAAATGTCTTCAGATTTAAGATAACTGCCTCTTGCTGTGGGACCAAGAGACTCTCTCATGTGTGCTGAGTTAATCATTTTCCTGGTCTTAATAGGAAATCCTGCCACCTGCAGAAACAACAAAATCTGGAATCTAGTGATATACAAATGAAACATGTGCACATAAGCATGTCTGGAGCTTAACACAATTTAACACAGCTAAAAACAAGTAACAATAAAGCACTCTGATCCTGTGCCACAAACAATGAAATGTAAATGGTTCAACATATTTTATGCTATCATAAATTTGATGTAATATAGTGTAGTTCTCTGTCTAAATTCAAATGGTTAAAAAAAATTCATAATACCTCTGGCCTCTACTGAACATTTCAATACAGTCGTTGCAAAAAGATTCCCTTCAAGCACCTTAATTTATGGGCTCCATCAATTATATATATAAAATTGATCATACTTTTAACATAGTTGCAATGAATATAAAATTTGCATGTCTCTGCCAGTACAGATGAAAGCATTAAACAAATATCACCTGCTTTTGGTATTGTTTAGCTTTTCTATGGATCAATGGATAAAAAGTCATCATTCTTATTTGTCTTCTCACAGTCTCTCCTTTTCAGTTTCTTTGAAGATATTCCTTTCTTTATTATGTTATCTAGATCCTAGCTCAACTATTTTGTCTGAGATCATCCTATTGGTCTTTTTCCTTTAAATTTTTATCTTAATTCACTTTTCGGTATCCTCGTTCTTGTATCTGTTCTCTTTAAATGTTTAAACCATTATATAATTTCTCTTCTAATTCTATTAACAAATTTTGGGTTCCAATTTATTCTCTTAATGTTTCATTTCTAATTCCACCCCTTCTTGTGAGATTTCAGGTTTTCATGGTAGTGAGTATGAACAGGACTGTATTCTGGAATGTTACATAGCGTAATCCTATACAAATTGGCCATCAATTAAGAGGTGCTTACTGCCTCCATCAGGGGAATGATGATGGAGGCATTAAGCACCTCTGAAACAATCAGGGCTGTGGAGTTGGTACTAAAACCTCTGACTCCTTATGTTACAACTGATTTAAAATACACATCATAAATTGTTCTTTGTGTTTTTTTGGGATCTCCCTGCTGTATATAAAACTGATAGAATCTAGAACAGTTTTATATTTTCCTACTGAGCTCTCCATTGATTTTTCATCTGAATTTATTCTGCTTCCCAGATAAATTTGTCCACCTCCTTAACCAGTGTGTCATTAACTTAGAACCAATATTCTTCTTCAAAATACAACAATCCACATTAATCATCTCCTTTAATATAAAGAGTAAGAATATATTATACCTCTATGGGAGTCCTATTGAACTGATCAGTTGGTGATCTTGGATCTATCAATTTCTGGATTGGAACACATATTGGACTTTCTGGATCTGAGACATTTGGATGTTCATTTCCCTGAAAAACTTCTTTAAAATGGGCAGCAGAGTTTCCCATTCCCTGAAATGCAAACAGACTGATTTTCTATATTCGCGTAATTTATTAACTCCTAATGAGATACTGGTGTGAGAAAACTGTGAAGCTGATAACAACTGTCTTGTAAATCTAACAAATAATTTCACTCATGTGAGCAGATGGTTCATAGATGATAAATTCACCTTGAATTTTAATAAAACAAACTTTATAACATTTGTAATCAATAAATAACCTCTAATATGAGAATATGCTACTGTGAGCAGTCTATACAGGAAGCTAAACTACCAAGTTCCTTGCCTCCAAACTGATAATCAATTGAACCAGTAGTCAAATAGATCAAACTGTTCCTAAGCTGGGTTCAGCATGCTTTGCAATGAACTCTCTTCCATTTCTCACATCAGTTGAACACTTAAAAAAACAGTGTACTATACATACTTTCAATCAAATATGATGTGTGTAGCATTATCTTCTGAGGAATTCTACTAACAGTAATAAAGTTTTCCTCATACAAAAGAAATAAATGGAATTATGTCTGGTGCTCAAAGAAGTGAGTCATATAGAAATCTGAGAGATTTTTGATCTTACCACTTGTCTATTAGGTATATATTTGCTTTAATGATATTAAAATCGATAACTGTGTGCATATAACTTTTAATCACAACGAAACACTGGTGCTAAATAGGCCAAACTTCCAAATTTAACTTCGTCATAATTGCAACACCAATTCAAACTCACCGATGTAAAAGTTATATTCACTAATCAATTTGGGTCACGCTTTACAGAATTGTCACTTGCATAGATAACCTACAAGCGTACCAGATGTACTTATGAAGTAACTGTGTGAAATTACAGATAATACTAATGATCATTCAATATCATATAATATTGTTTGTTCAAAACTGTTAAGAATTTTCGAATTTAAACTCTAAAGCCGCTCAATATTTGGAACACAAGGAGAAGCACAGATGTTTGAAAACCTGTGGCACAGATAACAAGCTAAATGGCGAGTATGGCCCTGTTAACGGAGTTTGTTATAAATGTGATAAAATTTAGTAAAGTATGTTTAGTAAGGGATTGACTCCTGTAATAGTATTTTTTACTTCGCCATAATAGCACATCGCTGTAAATATCTTCAATGTACATTACTTCTCATCAAAAATCTCAGAACTTACAAGACTGTTTTGAAGAAAAAGAAGAAGAATCCAGCCTTGGTACATAATAAATGTAATACCAACATGCAACAGATAGACGCAAAGGAGGCAAAAATGGCTATCTAGGGTTGGGAAGCATGTTGGACATGGATGTAGCCGATGTTTAACCTGTATTTCATGTGCAGTTAATTTAAATGAATTTAGAACTTTGAAAGTATTTCATTTTTCACCTAAAACAGAATGGAACAAATTGTTTGTGGAAAATTTGGGTGTGTGTAAGATCTTGGACAATGATTTTATATTAGACTTAATAAGTTACGTATAATTTGGTTCTTGGGTCATCGTTGCAAGTATTTTATATATCTATGTTTGCCATGTAACAAGGTTTTACATCACAAAACGTATTTTTGCACAGTTTTTCTCCTCACTGTGGATTAAATTGTACGTGTCGTGGTGGATGTAACAAGTGGTATAACAGTGAATTTCACTATTGACGAATTTAATGTGATTATAATTTTTGGTGTATTTTACGACATTGTGATCAGTGTCGTTTCGTCTCTTATAATGTATTGATAGATACAGTAGGAGTATGTAAAACACAACGGGTCGTGTTGGTTTATATTTGTGATCTAGGAAATAAATAGGTTGTAAGTGTGTTTTGAGAACTGTGCTTTGAGATCATAAGTTTGGAGGAGTTCACTTATATTTTGGCAGTGGCTCTGATAAATACACATTCCAAATCTCTAAAAGAAGGTCATGCATTTATGATGCCCCTTTAAAATTGAAAGTATAAATCACAGCAATTGATAAAACTGAAAAAGTTCAGCTTTCTATGTCCTCTTCAATATCGTATGTTCTGCGCTCGTTGTTCAAGTTAGGAATGATATTAGAATTTTATATTTTGGGTTGAAGGAAGAATTGATATAAGTGAAGGTTTTGCTTGCAGATGTGGTTTGCTGCTTGTGATGAAGGGCTGCAAACAGTTTCCATTGCCCATACCTTGCGCAGTAAAAAGATATAAACTTCTAATTCCATTGAAACATGGCATCATTTTTTCCCATCGTGAAATAAGTCATTCAGTGTTACGAAGTATTGTGAAACCTCATCCAGTTTTGGTCAGTGTGAATCCTGCATTTCAGCAAAATATTCAGTCTCGTGGTTATGCAATGGTAGTTGCACGGATTTTAAGAGGGGCCCTTAAGATTCGGTACTTAATCTTGGGTGGTGCCCTGAGTGGAGGAATAACATTGCAGAAGGTAATTATGTTTCACTTACGGATTTAAAATTGTAGTGTATTTACTTACAATGCATGTTTAACTTTCATATGACTATTCAGGTTTTATTGTATCTAATTGTTTACATTTAATATTCATGAAATGCCTTTTTCACTTGAGGAATAATACGCAATTTGTTTGCAGTTAAAAGGTTATATCTTATGAGTATAGATAAGAAGGAAAATTGTACATTGTGGTTCATACATTTAATTTATGATAGAAGGGCAGAATATTAGTTGGGTATCCCTTTTTATATGCTAACTGGATATAAGCCAGACTGAATTTAATCAAGATAGAACAGTGAGGGATAAAAACCATCCTAGAATATGGTATGGTGGGAGGCCCAAACCATATAATGCATTTAGGTAATCAATATATGTTTGCCCTTCCATTGAACTATTCATTTGTACATCAGTTATATTCCATATATCTTGAATTTAATGTGTGAACAAAAACTTGAAAAGAACAATTTTTTAAAGAGCATATTTGATACAATTGGTGACATACTGATTTTCAAAGAACTGAGTCTTGTCAAGTTTAATAATTTATGGTCATAAAACATTCTGATTACTGCAAAATGTGTATTTGTATGTTTGTGCTTTATAATTATTGAATAGTGTATGTCAGAAATGAATAGAAACATAGAAAATCTCACCATTTGTGCCATACAGCTTAGATAAAAATTACTCTTGAATCTATTTTGTTATCAATATGTCAGGCCTCATGTTTCATGGAATCATTATAATGACAGGCTTATTTTATTTTAATGATTGTATTGTTCTAGGTTTTGCAGACTGGTTGGTAGATGTCAAAATTTTGGAGAAATGTTGGCATCTACTGTCACCTCCACATGGCACAAAAACTCAGAAGATCTTTTATTTTATGTAGATGCTAGTGTTTCCCCAAAGTGTTGGCATCTACTGACTGGTCCACTTGGCACAAAAATCCATAAGGTTTTTATATCCTTTTGGTATAACATTTCAGACTTATGATCAATGGAAGGAATCCCTCCCAGATATGAAGTGGCTGAATGATTATTTCCCAGATTCTGAGCAGTGGAATTCCTTCAGAGGTGTGCTTCTTGGAATGAAGGACAAAGTAAAGGAGAATATTGAACTAGGTACTATTAGTATCCAGTATTCTTTACATACATATTTATTTTTAATGGTTCATGAGGTTAACTTTTTGTATAATTATAATCATCAGATAAATATAACAGATGAAACTAATTTAGCTGCTGGTGATATGTAAAATATGAAAATCTGCATCATTATTAATGTTGTGTATATTGTCTCTCTTCTAGCAGAATGTAGTTGATAATTTTTCCTTTTCTTAGACCTTAGGGAATTTCTTGAATTATCACATATTTCATGGTAACTTATGTTTGTAAGTAATCTGGAACCTGTGACTAATATGTTTATTTGTCACTGTTTATTAAGTTGAGAAGTTTTGCATAGAATTAAATGAAATAAATACTTCATATTAACATGTAAGTTTTTAGGTTTTCACAGCGGTGAGTCTGAAGATTGCTGTCTTCTGGGTTGTTGCACCATGTAGTCTGGTAGATGTCCACCAACGTTTCAGAGGTCATGCTGCCTCCGTTATCAGGGCGCTCTGATGACGGAGGCAGCATGACCTCTGAAACGTTGGTGGACATCTACCAGACTACATGGTGCAACAACCCAGAAGACAGCAATCTTCAGACTCACCGCTGTGAAAACCTAAAAACTTACATGTTAATATGAAGTATTTATTTCATTTAATTCTATGCAAAACTTCTCAACTTAATAAACAGTGACAAATAAACATATTAGTCACAGGTTCCAGAATATTAACATTTTTGGGAACATTGGCCATTGCCTTATAAATTTAATTTCAGTATGGTATGCACAACATCCATAAACACACATTAAGAATTTCCTTGTTTTTATGACAGTTGACAGCAGATACTAGTGGGATGTTTGTACCTTAGAATAGTTATTGCTTTATTATTTTTTAGAATTGACTACCAGCTACTTTAACATTTGAAAAAAGTTTAGTTTTATTAATGAAGTATGTAATTCTAAGAAATTGTAAAGTTATGGGTGTGGTGTGGTAAGTGTATGTGTTGGCACACTTAATCTGAAAAGGGCATGTAATTTTGCTGCGATAAATTCATACTAGGTTTATGTGTCATAGATATTCAAAACTGAGTTGTAATGAGCAGGAGTGAAACATTAGTGTGGTTTTCTGTGGATATGCAAAGAGATTCAATGGAAAATTGAGTAGGCAGAAAAGAATACATTGCATACACTTTCTTGTATGTCTCCTCCTCCTCCTCTGCCACCTCTGCTACCTCTTCCTCCTCCTCTCTAAGGATCTGAGGAAGTTTGTACAATGTATGTTACTTCTAGTAACAGCGGAATGTTAATGTTTTGTCTGCTGAATATTTCTTAGCTCATGTGACTCTTGTATGTTTGAAGAACATTTACAAATATTCTAATCTGTTTCTCAAAATATGACAGAGTAGATCTCATAAAAATTGTTGTATAGTCTGTGCTGGCCTGGGGTATCCAAGGCATAGCCATCAGAAGGTTAAAAGACCAAAACTTATGTTGGGCTTGAGAAATGAGATAGAAACACATTTGCAGAGGAAGTTTTATTATAATTATTCAAGAAGCATAATGCTGCATACTTGACTGTACTTGCTGTAACCTTGGTGATGCTAGTGTTTGTCGGATTGATTCTTTCTCTCGCCAGTAGTGTAAGTAGCTGTGTTACAGATCCTAGATTGAAGGCATATGGAGAAGTGCAGTACAGGAATTTCAGAGACTGGTTCGACAAGAGACTAGATGCTGCCATTGAAGCAGCTGAAAAGTCGGAGTTGGATTCAAAGTTATCTCACAGTAAGTAAGTTCATGCTTCCACCTGCATGCAAATTGTAAGCATACAGTCTCTTGATAGTTTTGTGTTTTGTGGTGTGCACATATAAGTCTGGATGGCATACAGAACTTTATTTTATGTTTATATTATATTTTTCAAAAAAACAAGCTACATGGCTATACCATAGCTCAGGCAGTTAGTTGCTGGTTTCTCACTGCAAAGTCCCAGGTTCATACCCAGGGTAGTCTATATGGGATTTGTGGTGGACAAAATGGTACTGGGACATTTATTTTCCAATCCTTCAGTTTTCTCTTGTCCATATCATTATGCTGCTGCTTGTATTCATTCATGTATTGTCTGGGGGTTGGACAATGGGGCTGGTAGCAGCTCGTTTCCACAGAGACACAGTTTCACCCTGTTGCGACAATTGTGCAGGCTTTGTGAATTTCTCTTATGTTTCAGATGTCATTTAATACATTTTTGGCATACATTCTGTTTATAGTAGTTTCTTCCTTTTTACCGTGCAAGGTTGTTAGCCTTGCGACCAAACCCCCCAACTTGGAGGACCAGGGTACCTGTCTTAGTCTGACCTCTCCCCCTTGACCAATCTGGCTAGGGAGGCCCTACCAGTAGCTATGCTACCGCCAGCATAGCTCTTGGGATCACTGAGGTACTCAAGCCCCACCACCACGACAAGGTGCTGGTACCATTAAGTGGGGGAATAGTCTAATATGGGTTCCACTAATTAATTTACTTATTTATTTTTCCTTTTCACTCCTACATGAAGCATAGGGCCTTTCTTTTTGTTAAGAGGTTTCAGTAATCAGACATTTGGTAGGACTCCTTGGATGAGTGGTCAATCTGTCACAAGGCTTCTACCTGCATACAGGACAACACAACAC